GTGTCACGGGACAGGACACCGCATGGTGGGCAGTGACGCGTGCGTGTCACAGGACAGGACACCGCATGGCGGGCTGTGACGAGAGAGAGAGTGTGTGTGTGTGTGTGTGTGTGTGTGTGTGTGTGTGTGCACGTGTGAGACGGGACAGGACACTGCACGGCGGGCAGTGACGTGTGTGTGTGTGTGTCACAGGACAAGACACCGCACAGCGGGCTGTGACGAGAGAGTGTGTGTGTGTGTGTGTCTCACAGGACAGGACACCACATGGCGGGCTGTGACGAGTGTGTGTGTGTGTGTGTGAGAGAGAGAGAGAGAGAGAGACGGGACAGGACACCGCACGGCGGTCAGCACAGCATGGGCACACCTGAGTGGATGGGCACCCTCACACACATGCTCCCCCAATGGACACACCACACGGCCAGAGCTCACACCATGCGGCTGCCTGCTGTCAGCACAGCACAGGTGCGCCTGAGTGGACGGGCGCCCTCACACACATGCACACCACCCCCACAGGATGGACACACCACACGGTCAGTGCTCACCGCAGCACGTGCACAAACACCAGGGGGGACACCCAATGGGGGGTGGCCGAGGGGGCCACAGATGTAGCAGTGCCCATCACAGGTCAGCCCAGGGAGTGATGGTTAGTCAGCAGGTCCCAGAAACACGGCCGGAAGAGTAGCCACCAAGAAAGAAGGGGGGTGAGAGGAAGGAATGTCCCAGAGAAGGGGCGCAGACATGGACGAGAAGTCCAGCTTTTGGCGGGGGAGCTTTGGTCCCTGGGCCCAGCATTGGGGGGCCGCTGCAATGGGGGGTATATTCTGCCACACTTAGTGACTGCAGTGGAAGTCTGCCATGTGAGCCCTGCAAAGTGGAGGACACGCATGTGGGGTTCCCACGCAGGACGTCCAGCCCAGAGCGGTCTCGCCTCGGCTCTGTCATCTGGGGGACCTGCAGCACACACGAAGGCTGCTGGGGGTCGTTGCTGGGCGCGCCTTAGCCAGGCTGTCAGAGAGAAGTCTTTTGGGGTCTTTGAGTCCTCACCCCTGACCCCGAGGGGGTCATTCCAGGATGCTCCCCCAGGGCTGCCTGCCACCACTGCAGAGGTGACCAGGAACTGCTGCCAGCCTGGACTTGGGTGGCCCCACAGTGGGCCACAGTGGACACTGGCATAGGGGGCTCTGGGTCTCTGTCTCTGGGCCCCTCGGCAGATCCCTGGAGGTGACCTGACAGGCCCTGTTGTCATCCTGACCCGATTCCAGAGGGAACAGCTGACGTCTGCATGAGCTGTGTCCCTTCACAGTCCAGATGATGCAGTCACCCTCTGTGACACCCCAACACCGCTGTCCTTGGCTCTCCGTGACACCCAGCCTGCCTGGTACCGCCATGTGGCGGGTTTGGTTTGGTTAGAGTTTGTTACATCCCAGAGGGCCAGACCCTCCTTGCAGGCACACGTGGAGGAGGGGCCCTGCTGTGGTTTTGCGTCCTCCTCCCCGAGCGGCTGGTGCAGGCGCCTGGCGGCCTGGTGGGTAAAGCCCTCTGCCGCCACCCCCAGTTGCCACTTTGGCTCCACCAGCTGGCCCTGCTCCCGTAGAGATGTCCACCGTCAGGGCCGCCGGCTCTGCCTTACAGGGTCACCCTGCGTTGTGATTAACAGCAGCAGGTCCAGGGTGGTGTGGGTGTCACCTGGAGGAGTCCCGGTGGCTCCGTGGTCAAGCACTGAGCTGCTGGCCAAATGTGGACAGTTGAAACGTGGCCGCCACTACACTGCCAGGGAAGAGGCGGGCCGTGTGCTTCGTGAAGGCTGTGAGTGGTGGTTACTCGGTGCCATGGAGTCAGCCGCGACTCACTGCGACCCTGTGTACGACGGAAGCCTTGTCCTGTCTGCTGCCCTCGCATCTCGGACAAGCCCATTGTCACGGTCACTGTCAGTACATCTCATTGAGGGTCTTCCCTTGTGCTGTCCCTCCACCGTTCCCAGCACGAGGCCCTTCTCCAGGCCCTGACCCCTCCTGACACAGTGCCCGGACCATGTGAGGTGACAGCTGACCACCCTCGCCTTTATGGTGGGAGTTCAGGGGGCCCGCTGGGTGGAGAGGTGCTGTCAACCCAGAGGCAGGGGGTTCGGATCCTTCACCTGCTTCTTGTGAGGAAGGTAGGAAACCACCTTCACTGAGGTTTCACAGCCTCTGAAGACCCACAGCAGGGTCGGCTACTCGGTTCCGCCTTGGTGCCAATCAGTTGAGGGGCCTCAAGAGAAACCAGGCACACTTTCTCCAAGACCGACCTGTTGGCTCCTTGGACCATCCACAAGACAGTCCTCTTCTCCAGCATCACAGTCCAAGGACACCGATTCTTGGGTCTTCTTTATTCATTGTCCAACTCTCAGAAACACAGGAAGCGATGGACAATAGCATGGCTTGGATCAGACTCACCTTAGTCTGTACAGTGGCACTGTTGCTCTTTCACACTTTGGAAAGGTCCTCGACGGCAGATCTTCTCAGTGCAGCAGAGCTTTTGACTTCATGACTGCTGCCAACAACATGTGCTGACTGTGGATCTGAGTAAAATGAAACTGTTGACAACTTGAATCTACTCTCCATCGGTTGTGATGCCACGTGTCGGTCCAGCCGTGAGGCGCTTTGTTTTCTGGAAGCTGAGATGTAATTCATCCCGAAGGCTCCTGTTCAGTAAGTGCTGCAAGTGGTTTTCACTTTCTGCGAGCAAGGTTGTGCCCGAGACCGAGGCAGCTGTGCGCCCAGAACGAGGGGCACAGCGTGAGGTAAATCAGGAGCGGGGTTTGTGTGTGTGTGTGTGGGTGTCCTCTCTCCACACCGACTCGGTCTCTGTGCTCAGCACATCACTTGAGAAGCTGGACTCTGTGAAGAACATGGTGTCAGGACTGGAGGAAGACTCACCCACAGCCTGCTCTGTGCGGACCCCGCTGTGGGCAGCCCGCGGGCACGTCTGCTCTGCCCACCATGGTCCGGCAGTCGGAATCTTTTTGGTCTGAAGGCAGTAGTTTGGTTTTTCTGAGTGTAATGGCCAGTGCTATCGCACACCTTTCCATGTCCTGGCTGGCCGTCTGTGCATCTTGTTTGGAGAAGGGTCCCTCCACGCCCTTGGCCTGCTTTTCCTTTAGGGAGTCTGCCTGGCTGCTGTTGCATGGTGGTGGTTCTAGCCAGGTGCCATTGAGTCGACTGTGACTTGTAGTGACCCTGGGAACCACTGACCGATGTCCTGTGCCACCCCCACGGTCAGTGCCAGTTCTAGAAACTCGAGCACCACCAGGCCCGTCAGAACCCCTGGGTGGTGCAAACAGTGAGCATTCTCGGCTGAGAACGGAAAGGTTAGTGGTTTGAGGCCCCTAGAGGTGCCTAGGCACAAAGGCATGGCTGGCTGCCTCTGAAAGGTCAGCCGTGGAAGCCCTCCAGGTCGTGGTCCTACCTGACATGTGAGTCACATGACAACGGGCCTCATCAGCCTTCTACACGAGGAAGCTCTGGTGGCCCACTGGGAAGGAGCTGTGCTGCCAACCCAAAGGCGCACAGTTTGAATCCACCAGCTGCCGCTGAAGAGGAGAATGGGTCATCTCCCGTGCGATTTACAGCCTCTGACAACCCGCTGGGGGGTCAGGCCTGAGTCAGCACGAGCTCAGCGGTACACAGCACCACACGAACCCGGTTTGCAGAGGTTCTCCGCTCCCTGGGCGCGTGCCAGTCGAGAAGGAGGGCTCTCCCACCTCACTGCTTGAGTTGTCCCCCCTCCCAAGCACCGTGTATTGGGTGGGGTTCCTAGTGCGCTCCAGGGGGGATACCGCTTGGGCTGGGTGGGCACTGGGACCTGCCCGGTGACGCACCCTCTTGTCCACACAGTCGTACCTGCTGATGGCGACGGTCATCTTCCTGCCCTACATCAGCAAGGCCGCCAGCTGGTGCAAGGACAGAGTCATGGGTACGTCCCCACCTCCCCCGGCGGGGGTCTGTGAGCGACCAACACGGGGCGGGGGTTCAGATGGAGGCAGAGGCCGGCCCGCTGGTCCCCTGTGTGGGGACGGCATCAGGCTCAGGGCCATAGGCACCTCTGCCGGGCCTTCAAATGTGAACTTGGCTGAGGAGAGGCTGGGTGTCCCCACCCACACGTCTGGGAGCCCTGGGGTGCAGGACCCTCGGGGAGGAGGACAGAGCAGCCATCCAGCCCCATGCAGGTGGGTCACTCCCTACCCCTTACAGGTCCAGGGGAGCCCCCTGTCCAGACCTTGGAGTTCTTCACCTTCGACCTACATGAGCCCCTCAGCAAGGAGCGCGTGGAGGCCTTCAGTGACGGCGTCTATGCCATAGTGGCCACGCTCCTCATCCTGGACATCTGGTAAGACCCGGGGTGCCCCCAGAGCCCACCCACAGCCCACTCGCCTGGCCAGAGCCCAAGCCCATCCGTCCACAGGAGGAGCCTCCCCTCGCCCAGGAGACGGCGCCCATGTACACAGTGGGTGTCCAGGCTCCCCGGGTGGGTAGCAGGTGGGTGTGATGCATAGAGATACCCCATCTCCCCCCTCTTCCCAGAGCTGCGCCCCAGGCTCCACACCTTCTGAGTACTGTCTTCAGAGCCAGCTTCCCCCCACCCCCGCACGGCATCCCCGCCCGATGACTCCCCAATGGTGGTCACTGCGACGTTTTCTAAAAGGTCTGCCCTCCACCTTCCCAAGTGTCCTGCCTGCCCTTCTTCCTCTCACCCCTGACCATTTCCCCACACATCTGGGTCTGAGGGGTTCTGACTGGGGACTCCTTACCCATCAGAGGGGATAAGCCAGCCTGCTCCCCACCCCAACCAGAGGGCAACCTGGGGGGACCGTCCTCTGTCCTGCAGGGAGTCAGCACAGCCCCCGGCGTGGTTCTGGGAGCTGACCAGTTAGTGTCTGATCCTGTCGTGCTGACTACAGACTGAGGCCCTGATTATCCACAGCTTTTTCTCTGTGATTTGTCAAGTTTTTTATATGAAAAGTACTTCTTCACTGGCACTGGATCTTTAAGGTCTGGGCCTACAGAACATTCCAGAAGGATCTATGGCAAGAATCACACTCAGGTCCTCTCCTTGAATGGCCTGCCCCTGGTTAGGGACTCTGGGGTTCTGGTCTCCCCTCACCCCACAACAGAGCCTGGGTGGAGGAGGGAGGCTGCTCCCACTGGGTCTGCCCCCCAACCTCCCACTGTGCCACATTTCTCTTTTGTGCCCCAAGAGGCTGCCTGAGGCCTCCCACTTGGGTGCGGTGTTTCCACTGCCCCTCCTCAGATAGCACCCCCACCCATAGCCCCTTTGTCCTGAGCTATAGGCCTCAGGTGTCCCAATGCCCCTGGGTTCCCTGCAGCCTATCTATCCCTGGGCTCCGTAGGGTGCCACACCCTCAGGCAGGTGCCAGGGTCCCAGGCAGCCCAGCCATAGACCCCACAGTCTTCATCCGCTCGGTGGGTGCACATAAGTGCACAGGTGTAGTAGACCTGGATGCCACATGGGGCCGGGTAGGTGCTCCAGGCCGCACTGTCCCAGGGAGGTGGCTGTAGCCCCATCCCCAGGACTAGGCAGTTAGGTCCGAGGTCCCTGCAGGTGGACACTGGCCGGCAGTGCCGTGCTTGGTCACAACACCCTCCGAGGCTCAGGGATTCGTGTGTGCGGCTTCCCCGAGGATTTGGGGCCCAGAGAGCTCCCTGGACCTGCCATCTGGAGGCAGCAGGCTGTGGGTGAACAGGGACCCCCCACCCCCTTGGCCAGGCCCTCACCCATGCTCCCTGTTTGCTGTCCCCAGTGAGGACAACGTCCCAGAGCCCAAGGACGTGGAGGAGCGCTTCGGGGGCAGCCTGGTGGCGGCCCTGGCCACCTACGGGCCGCACTTCCTGGCCTACTTCGGCTCCTTCGCCACGGTGGGCCTGCTCTGGTTCGTGCACCACTCGCTCTTCCTGCACGTGCGCCGGGCCACGCGCGCCATGGGCCTGCTCAACACGCTGGCGCTGGCCTTCGTGGGCGGCCTGCCGCTGGCCTACCAGCAGACGTCGGCGCTGGCGCAGCAGCCGCGCGAGGAGCTGGAGAGCATCCGCGTCAGCTGCGTCATCATCTTCTTCGCCAGCGTCTTCCCCTTCGCCATGTGGACCGTGGCGCTGCTGCGGGAGCGCGAGGCCCTGCAGCCGTCGGCACGCTTCGGCGGCCGCGAGCACGCGCTCATGTTCGCCAAGCTGGCGCTGTACCCGTGCGCCAGCCTGCTGGCCTTCGCCTCCACCTGCTTCCTGCGCCGCTTCAGCACGGCCATCTTCCACCTCATGCAGGTGGCCGTGCCCTTCGCCTTCCTGCTGCTGCGCCTGTTGCTGCGCCTGGCGCTGGCCGGCCTGCGGGCCGTGAGGGGCCTGGTGCGGCCGGCGGGCCTGGCACCCTGCGAGCCGGGTGACGCGCAGGCCCAGCTCCTGCCCGCGCCCTGCTAGCCGCCCAGAGCAACGTTCCCGGGGGCGGCTGCCACTCCGTCCTCGACCCCTGCTGCAGGGCGCACGCCGGCTCCTGACCTGGTCGCTGCCCTCCCACCTGCCCACTGCTGCAGCCTGAGGGTGATGTGGAAGGATGAGGGCAGCCAGGCCAGGGGGCTCGGTGTTGGGGTCGGTCTGCTATAGTGTGGAACCTTCCAGTCACCGCCCAGCTCAGACACCAACGTCATGGGAACCTTGGGTTTTCCTGTCGTGTTTATGTATCTGGTTTATGTTGCCAACGTGATTGTCTTACTGTGAACAATGAGCAGGCGCCAGGTTGAGGAGTGGCATGGCCGGGTAAAAGGGTGTGGCCTAGCCGGACAGCCTCAGCTGTGGTGGGTGATCTGATGTGGACCGAGCCTCTGCTCCCCAGGGACAGTTCCACTGTGGCTGACCACCCCTTCTCTGCAGCCCAGTGCTTCTACCTGGACCGTGGGCAGTGTCCCGGAGGCTGCAGGCTCAGGCAGGGGAGCGGGGCAGGGGCCCTTGATGCTGGCTGTCTCTGAGGCGCCGTGCCCAGTGGCCCACCCTCCCCAGATGCAGAGCTCCAGGGACAGGTGGGGTCCAGGGCTCCGGACCCTCAGTTGATCCCAAACACCCAGCAGCTCCAGAGTCACACAGAGACAGGGAGACCCAGGGGACAGCAATGGCCAGCACTGTATTGGTCACGGATATAAATTATCATTACATTCAGGAAGCTATAAATTACACAAAACAGGATTTGGTCAGTGCAATATGGTGGGGCGGGGCCGCCGCCAGGCACAGAGACAGACAGGCAAACACAGAAGCACAGCCCACCAGAACCATGATTTAGGAACAGCCCACAGACCAGACACCACAGCTGGCACGAGACGCTCACACCACGGGCATCGAGGCGCGTGCACGTTTGCACAGAGGCACACGGGCGGCTGCACCGAGTGGGGTCCCGGTGCACGCGGGCAGCTTTGGCAGAAGCATGGAGGGGGTGTGGTGGCTGCAGGCCAGCTGGGCACCCCTGAGCCACCACTGAGGTCAAGGATGGCGAGGACAGTCCCGACAGCTGCCTCCTCGGCCAGAGCCCAGCCTGGCGGCGGAGGGATTGCCAGATGGGCCCCTCCGGGGAGGTCCCCTAGAGACACCTCTGCAGGTGTGACTACATCCATCCATCCTGGGGACCGGGGTCCCGGGCTTCCAGGAAGAAGTCCTGTCCTGTCCATCACTTGTCTTCTCTCCGAGGGAGGCGCAGAACACCCCTCACAGCTGGGGCATGAGGTGCCAGGACGCGAAGGGCGGCCATGCAGCTGACAAATGGGCATTAAAGTGCTTGACGTGGACTGATGAGTAAAGCTGTTCCTTGACCCCTCAGCGTGGTCCCTTCACGCCAGACAGAGGAGGGGCCCTTCTACCTGCCTGGCTGCATGACCCAGCAGGGGGAGACCTGGGCCTGCACACACCTTTCCCTGACCCCACACTGTCCCCTGCTGGCAAGGTGGCTCCCCAACTTCTCAGATACAACCCAGATGCCACCTGCCTATGAGGGCTGGTGAATAGCAGGACAGGTTCCACCAGGGGCCAGTGCAGGACCTCCGATACCCTGCTGTGTGGGGATGAGGGGCCCTTCCCTAGAGCCCACCACAGCCCAGTCAGGAGGCAGAGGGCCACGCTCGGGTGAAAAGGCGTGGGGGTGCAGCTCATCTGTGCTGAGCTGCAGGGGCTGTTGAGGTGCATGCCCAGGGTGTCCCAGGACCCAGCAGGTACATGTAAATCTTGCCGCTGGCTGCATCCTGTGGGGCACGGAGGCCAGCGGGGGGTCCTGTGTCTCACAACAGATCCGCAGGTCAGTCCCACGGACCCTCAGCCAGCAGGCAGGCTGCACCCTCAACAACTTGGCAGAGTCTCATGGCCACCCCACTGGTGCTGGAGCAAAGGACACACCCGTCACCTGCCCAGCCGTGCCTTCACAGACACAGCACAGAATAAGGCCAGGTCAGGGCCAGCCCCGGGGACGCGGGCCCAGCAGGAACGGTCAGGGCGAGACTGCACTCGAGGTGGACAGGACGGGGGCAGGGTGCTGCCCTGCCCCTCGGCCCCCTCCGCTGCCTACTTGGCATCACGCTCCAGGGCAGGTGTCCCATCCACTCGGGCCTCCTTGGGGACACCTCCAGCCTTCCTGGGCTTCTGCTTGGACTTCTTCAGCATGTGCACCTGTCACAGGCAGGCTGTCAGAGTGGCCTGGGAGGCCAACCATTCCCGGAATGAGGCTGCCCACTTGCAGCCTGAAGCCCAAGGGTCTACTGAGAGTTGGTGCCCAGCAGAACCCACCCCCCATACCTGTCCTCACACCCTCCCAGGTCACCTCCAGTCACTCTCATAATGCCCAGCCCGCCCAGCCTCAGCCACCACCCCTAACATACCTTGGGGCCCGCAGCCGAGATGATAATGTGGCCAGGGGCCTGGACCCAGGGTTCCCCGTCAACCTGCACTGGGGTCGCCTTGAGGAGCGTGACCCGGAAGTACGAGCCCTGTGCGATGCGGATGCCAGACCGGAGGCCGCCCTGGACCTGGCCCTGGAGGATGGGAGGGGTGAGCTGAAGTCAGCCAGGCCACGGGGCTGCAGCAGCGAGGGGCCCATCCGCCCGCCTGGACGCTCACCATGTGCACGACGCCTGTCACCCCGACCACCTCCAGCAATCCGTCGTCTATGCGTGGCTTCTCAAACCGCCCATCGCTGTCCGAGCCCCACAGGTCGGCCCCTGAGCCCCAGCTGTGCACGGTGACAGAGGCCAGCGTGTGGGCGGACGGAAACAGCCAGAGCCTCGCCCTTGGCCACGCTGTAAGAACCAGCACGGACCAGACAGACCCCACGGGCTGGCGGGCCCCCGAGGGTACCCCACCCTGCGCACCTGGGGATGTTGATGAAGATGAGCCCCTCGATGCTGGGCAGCTCCACCTCCCGCTGCTCCACCTGCAGCCGGATCTCCTTGTGCAAACTGCGCGACTGGCTGATCTTCTGCAGCCCCACCCGCACGTACACGCCCTTGTTGTGGAACC